TCTATGAAGTTTAAGTGAAGTTATATATACTGAGTTCTACGAATTTGTTTTGCAGTCAGAGGCACAGGATGCGATCTGAGGTTATGTAAATTCATATGAACTATGGCTATGCGAATACGTATGGCATAATAGAGGCACAGGATGCGTCTATGAAGTTTAAGTGAAGTTATATATACTGAGCTCTACGAATTTGTTTTGCAGTCAGAGGCACACGCTGCGTCTGTAACCGCGTTTAAAGTAATATTCGAAATTTTTTTAATTTCTAGCTAACTTTTTTTTTTTTGGTTTTTAGGTTTTGGTATTATTAATTATGCTAACTCAATTAATTCCTGCCCCAATTAAGAAGTCTAGAAGCATACAAGTGTTACAATAAGTAGAGTCGCGAGTTTAATACGGTGTTTAGTGTAGTTATTATGCCACTTTTATACTTGTTAGCAAAATCCCAGAGTTTGGAATCTTAGTCGATTTTATTATGTTTAGAACTGAAATTTGAAACGATTTATGTTTGGCATTTTGGTGAAATTTTGAAAATTTCAGTTTGATAATAAGTAACTTCGATATTTTTTATTTAATAAATATATTAAAGTAATTTTAAAAGGGTTTGTTAATCCAAATTGATGATAAAATGGTGGGGTTTATAAATTTATCAGTTATAACAAACTTTTTTGTTTTATTTAATTTTTGTAAAAATCTATTTTATTGTTCATCCGATCATTTACAAAAAATAAAACAGAAAATTTTGGAAATATAGTCTATCAAATGTAGGGTTGGGGCACGAAAAAAATTTTTGGGCATGCCTCTGATTTTTTGGTTTTAAAAGCATGCTCTATAGGCATGCCCCAAAAATTTTTTGTATATCAATTTTTTTATATGTAAATTTTTTGAAAAAGGGCATGCCCTGGGACACCGTGCCCCCAACCCTAATCAAATGTCAAAAATATAAATTGAAACTACGAAGTTTATAAACATTTCTATACCTATTACAGAAAAGTTACAGAAAATAACTAGATAATTATAATAGGACTGGGTGAAACCCGCGTTGTAAATTAGTAAAATCCGCTACGTAGATCACGTTAGGGTGAAATTCGCGTTTAGCTATGTTTTTTATTATGCAAAAGCGAATTTCACCCTCATGTGATCTACGTAGCGGATTTTACTAATTCACAGCGCGGATTTCACCTGTCGTATTATAATTGAAGACGCAAAAAAATCCTATTTATTGCTTACAAATTTATCATAAGAGCTGATTATCAATTAACTATAGTCTTTTAAAAAGATAGTCTAACAATTAACTTTTGAATAATTCCTGAGGTAGTCAATTGACAATGCATAAATTTTACGAGGGCCATCAGTAGCTTATAAGTTGAATTCGCGGATTGATAGGTAAACCTAAGTATCTTTTATTCTTTTGTAATATTATACAATTCACTTGAAGACATTCCACGTAATTTAAATCCTTTCGAAATTTTATCATCACCCGTTTCCAATTTTTCCAATTCAGCCATTTTCTCTTTAACAGTTTCTCGTAATGAAGAAATTCCAGATTCAAGGCTTTTTTGATCTATTTTAAAAATTAAAATGATAAGTAAAGATCAAAAGTTAATCAAGAAATAAGCAATATGATAATAATACCTTTTTCAATATAAGTTTTTACGCTATCCTTATCCATCTTTATAAAAAATTCACCAAGATTTACCCATACTTTTTCTTTATCTTTTTCTTTTTTCAATTTATTTAATGCCTCTCTATTTGTATTTCGAGTTCTATCATAATCTATAATCTTTTATAAGAAGTAATTATAAGTCTGAAAATAATCAGGTTAGATTAAGAGGTATTCATACCAATTGCTTATTCGTTAATATATCTTCAGCAATACGCTCACGTTCTGCAAGAACTAAATAATATAAAGGCTTGAGTATAAATAAAAATGAATAAAAAGAAAAAATATATATAATATAAAAGCGTACATACTTGGAATGTATTCCATTTTCAGGACTAAGTGTTAATTCGAATCCTAAACAAATTTGATTAATAGTCAAATTATGGAAGACATACATGTGATTGGTTGATCTGCACGTGACAATTGGCCGATACTTTATAACTGATACCGTAAAAGTCTGACTTGTGTACCCGGGGGCCTAACTCATATTTGTACCCAGTGTACATTAACATGTCTAGAGGGGGGATACACCGTACACCGTATAGAGGCAAATATGTTTAATTATATCTACCTAACATGATACATATAGCATATATCGTACTTGTATAAATCACCGCCTAACTCTTAAAACTTGTGGGGGGTATACGCCATGGGGGTACACAAGTCAGACTTTTACGATAAGTTGATTTTTAATAACAAGAAGTATTAAATTAGCATTAGTGCTAAATATTTTGATTAGAATTAGAATTACGTATTGTAAAATTGCAACAGTTTTTTTTAGAGCGCCAAGGTACGTACTGTACATATCAGGGTATGTGGGATTTTTATCTAGAATGGCATGATTTTCCTAATTTGTATAATTCTAGTCATTTCCAGAAAATTTTGACAGAACCGGATTTGTTACTGTTATCAAGTCTCAGTTTCATCATGAGACCACATTTCCATTAAACATTTCTTCTCAAAAACATGTCTTATTATATATTATTGTATCGTGTAACTTAAATAAGTTGTGGCATAGAATATGATCCAATATATTTTAATAATATATAGTTGGGATCACACAATAATGACAATTTTGCAGGCAAATATATCTGTAAACGAATTGATGCTATGGATGTTAAACTGGTTAAATTCTATTCGTTTACAGTATAATAATAAATATATAAGCAGGTTGAGTTGATTAAAATCTCTAGATTAAGGATATTTTGGTCAAATAACAGGATTAGAATTGGTATGAGAATCAAAGCAAAACTTTTTTTCGAAAATTTGATTGTAACTTTAAATTTTAAAATGGAAACTACCATTTACAGCATAATAAAAAGAATATATTATACCTTATCAGTTATTGAATTTTAAAATTTAACGTGTTATCAAAACTTTAATTATGTTACACATCTTGAAATTTGACCAACGGAACGTGACAAGAACTTTCTTTTTTTATCATAACAAGCCAGCTTTTATTAATAAGTCCATAGAATATGTGACATTAAAGCTTTATGCGATCTTATATAAGTAAATTCTAAAAAGAAAGTTCGTTATATAAAATGTGTTTGTGGTGGGCTACTGACCAAATTAGGTTCGGGTGCGGTATAGCAAATTTATTATATAAAGTTGGTATATCGAGCGAGTGTAAATAAATGAAAGTTATTTGTTCAGAACCTTTTTCAGTTGGTTATAGGCAAAGTTCGGTATAAAGAGGATCGACAGTTATAATAGAAAGGAAACGAATGTCTAGGATAGTACATTTTCAAAATAGACGCCCTTAACATCTTTACCTCTCATTGATTGTTTTACATTGTATTCAAAGTTTTTCCGGTTATTTCTCATCTCCTCAGCAGCTTCTAAAAACATCAATAATAAAAAAGGGTTAGAAATAATCTTAACAAAAAAAAAAAAAAAAAGGAAAGAGAGAGAGAGAAAAACATTAATTTGATGAAATGCAAAATACGAATACTTACCCTTATTGAGTGGATCTTCAGGATTTGGCTCCAAGAACAAATATTGCAATCCCACCAAAACAGAATTTAAATTCAAGACAGGTTTCCAATCTTCACGAAGAATGTTCAGACAAACATTACCCTCAAGATCAATATTGGGATGATAAATCTACAAAGCATATATAGTTGTAATAAAATTTAATCATAAAGATTATATGAATAACCTTGTTTACTTATTAACCAAACTTTGATCAAAGGTTATTTATATTACCTTTTGAGTGCAGCGAACTTTTGGAGGGTCATGAGGATAATTATTGTTTATGTTGAAAGTGAATTTAAACACACCACCTCGATAAAAGCCTATCATAATTATGCCAAATAAAAAAGTAAATAAAAGTGAGGTAAAAAGACTTTATAGAAGTCACATTAACGAACCTTCGTCGGGTGTTATAGACAAGTTAAAATTGAGAAGATCTGATTCATCCGGAAAACTCATTTGCATTGTATCCGGGAGTGCCAGCTCAGTTAAGTCTGTAAAGTAAAAAGAGTAATAGAGTTAGTTTAAGGTTAGTGAGAAACTTGTTAAAAAGACAGGTTTTAACACAAGTAAGAATTTTTCTTGCCAGAGAGGCCCAAGAAAAAACAGCAGTAGCTTCTGAAGATCAATGAACAGTGATTTGCAAAATAAACGATTCAAGCCATAGAAAGCAACAAAAAGAAAGTGAAAAATATAAATATACCTTTTTGAACACGAATCTGAGCAGCACTAATTTTCGATTTTTTTTTTTCGGCTGAAGAATTATCCTTCTTAATTGACCAGATTTTAATCATTGTCTAAAATTTTAGTTGTTTTAAAAGTCTAATTTGTATTTCTAAAAGAACAGTATTGGTATATGAAGGATTAAAGAGATCTTTGACTTTTTCGTTTTAAATGCGGAAGTAGTAATTTTAACGGTTGTGAAAAATATATACTTTACCAACAAGTCGAGTTTCACTTGGGATTGGATCCTGATAAAATTTTGATAGCCAAGTCGTTTTCCGAAACAGAAACCCGTGTAATATGCATGTAACATGTATGATCAAATGACAATTATTTTTTTGTATTGTGTAAGTGGAGTCAACACCAAATTCAGAAACTTCTTTATAATCGAGCCGGTAGTTCGCGTGCCGCAGTACTTTATTCAATTTATTCAATCAACAATAACACTTTGTTATACGTATATATACGTAGTAATTTACTTTTCTAATTTTATGGTTTTAAAATTAAACATGTAATGTCTATCTATCTATCTATCCATCCTAATCAAATAAAATATAAAACTAACAAAATATTGTTTATATCAAAATTTATAAAATTTAAGATGTCTATACGAATATAATGACCCCCCCTTTTTTTTTTAATTTCACCAACTACTCCATTCATCCTCCCATCCATCATCTTTTTTCGATTCACCCCTTCTTCGTGTAGTTGTTGAAGTAGCAGAAGCTTTTGGCGACGCAGAACGCGTATTAGTAATATTAGTACGATTTAATGGTGAATTACTTCTACTGGTCGGAGAATTGGTTTGTTGATAATGATTCATCGTGTCAGAGAAGAAATCATTATCATCGTTATTATTATTATTAGGATTATTATTACCATTATAAGCGTTATTAGAATTATTATTAAATCGTTCATTATTAATTATTGAATAATTTGATCGAGCAAAAGAACTTGCAGATGTGGAGATGGTCGAAATTCCACGAGATGCAGTCTCAGTAACCTATATAAAACTTTTATTAATAATTTCGTAATTACAAAAAAAAAAAAATCAAAGAACCTTTATTATTGATGAAATCAAATTACGTACCGTTTTACCAATCCCTGTCACGTACCCAGAAATCTGTTGAGTGAATTCCGGATCTCTGACTTTGTCGGTGGTAGGTTTTATCACGTGCTCATTAACAGTATGTCCTAAGGTTTCTGCACCTTGCGCAGCTAATTTAGCACCTTCTACAACATGATATCCCAAAAAGTTTAAACCTTTAGTCAAAGCACCAACAGGGTTTTTTATTAATTCGTCTAGATCCGGTGCAGCTTTTGAGGTCGTTGAAGGTTCATTCGTAAATGCGGGATTACCAAATCCAGTATATTTTCCACCTTGACTTGGTGGTATATTATCCGGTCTGTTTTCATTTGCACGTCCAAGATTTGCAAAATATGCATCATTACGTGTTTCGTTTGGTAAAGTTCCGTTAATATTATTATCTAATTGATATGATTTATAAGACGTAGGACTTGAAGTATCTGCTCGATTAGGTGTTTGAACAGAAGTACGTTTGCCACTGATTGATGTAGGACGGTTTGATTGGCGACTCATTGATGTTGAAGATGGCGATGTCCATTTTCTTCCTTCACATTGTGCTATTAACTAAAGTAAACATATATTAAATTTAAATTATTTTAATTATTCTTCAAATAATTATGACAAATAATTATGAATATGATATTTCGAACCTTTTCTCGGTAACTTGATGCAAAGCTACTATGATATTTGTCTTTTAAAGACATCTCTGGATAATATTCTGATGAAGCTTCGTAAAAATCTCGCCATGCTGTGTTACCTCCAAGCTTATTTAAAAATAAATTAAATATTTTTGTTATTTAATATTTCAGATTTTTGAATTAATCATAAAAGAAATTTACAAACTTACTTTCATCTTTTTTATTTGATCTTCATACCATTTATCCATCGTGATTGAACGAACAAAACTGAATTTGAATAATATAACAATAAGATCACAATAAATAAATAAGGTTTACCCACTTGTTGATGTTTCCTTAACATCATAATTGAAATCGCGAAAATTAATTTCGTGAAATTCGAATCATAACATTGTAGATTATTCATTCGATCTGTCTACCCAAAATTTCGATATTTATCACTTAAGGGTGACGATTTAATGTGGTCTAGCACTATCTCATAGTCTACCTGTTCAAAATAAACCTCATCGATACAAACCTAACATGAACCCCAAATGATCGATGTACACCTGAACATTCTAAACAAATGAAAATACCAAAAGAAACTGAAGCCCACTGTGGATTCGGTGCTCCACAATCCACACAGTTCTACATAAAAAAAGTCATTATTCTATGAATCCTTTTTAATCAAATTATTACAAAGAAAACAATATTTTACCTTGTTACCATTTTGTTTTTGAATTTCATTCAAAATTTGCTTGTACTCTGCCGCCATCCTTTTAGTTTAATTAATACAGCAGATGTAAAAAGTTTAGATTGATAGTAAAACGGGTCGCTTTAATGAAAAAAAATTTATTACAGTTTATTATCATTATGCAATTTGTGCAACTATTTGTGTTGACATTATCAAGAATTACTGGAATTACTTGATTCGGTCTATTGCTGAATTGAGAATTATCCATTCATGTTACACATAAATAGCAAAAGGCTATTAGTGCTTCTCTTGTTTATACGAATATAGCAATAGATATACTTTTATATTATCAGTTATATTAAGAATAACCGTACGTAGTGCTAGAGCTAATTTCTTATTTTTGTTATTAGTACTGTTAGCAGACTTACGGAGATGCACTTATTTAGAGTTTTGAGCTTGGGTAAGACGATTAAAAAATCTCCTAAGGGAGCTTCCACTTATTATGTAAATATAATCCTTGGGGAATGTCAATTGACTTTCCAAGGTTCCAGAGTCAGTTATTTGACAATTACAAGTTTTAAAAGTATATGAGGTCTTTGCCTTGAAATCAAGTTATGGGACATTGTAAATCATACGTCCAATATTTGATTTTCAAGGCAAAGACCCCATAATCAATAATATAATTAACTTGTAATTATCAAATAACTAACTCTGGGATCTTGGAAAAGTCAATTGACATTCCCCAGAGGGCTATATTTACATAATAAGTGGAAGCTTTCTAACTCAAATTTGCAAGGAATTTTTTTTTTTTACATATGGGCTAATCGGAAACATTGGGCCTAGACAGAGGTACTAAAGTTACTTTGAACCCCACAATTAATTATTTTTAAATTGGTCTGCTATACGGAACAATTGCTTAATAAATACTCTTAAGTAATTCAAATAAAACCCTAAAGAATTCAAGGATATAATAGATTATGCAGGATAATGCGTCAAACCCATTAGTCCTAGCTCAAAACCCATTAGTCCAAACCCTATAGAGTCAGGCCATTCGATATCATTATTATATACATATCAGTCACCCGATTTGTCACATCTAAAATTTTATTATATGATTTTCATAAGTTGTACAAATCGACGAAGTTACAGTTTTAAAATTTTAGACTAAAACTTTAGTTGAAATACATAATGTTCTATAAGACAAAA